GCTCTCTCTCTCTTTCTCTCTCTCTCTCTCTCTTTCTCTCTCTCTCTCTCTCTCTCTGGCAAGCACGTGCTTTCTGTAGCAAATTTTAAAAGAGAGAGAGAGAGAAGAAAAAAGTGTTGAATTGGTGGCTGAGGTCTCAGGCTACCATGAGATGTCTCCGGAGAAAACAGAGAGGTCCTGAAGGAGAAGAAAGGGAGCCAGCCCAGGACTAGGATCCTGGAGGGCTTGGAAGGGAGACACTGAGTCCTTCCGGCCTGGGCAGCTATGAGAAATGTGGGCCTTCCAGAGAATCAGCATGTGGGCATTGCAGGAGGAGGGGACAGGAGGAGCCAAGAGCCACTTCAGTTCGGGCTCCCCTGCTTGGGGGATGATGGCGCCATCCTCAGGCAGGGCCCCAGAGGAGGGCAGCTGCCGAATTCCTGCACAAGTTGCAGCCCGGAAGGCCTCTCACATACGGAGTCTGGACTCTGGGGAGAGTGTGGGCATCGTTAGGGCATGGCTGACAGCAGGGTTAGGGTCTCAGGTGAGAAGAGTCAGGGGAGATCTGATCTTTTTGTTTCCATAGAGAAACTTCCAGGGAGAGCCAGCGTGCCCTGGAGAAGGAAGAAGTGAGCCGTCCATGTGGTAAGGCTTCTTCCTCACAGAGCCATCCCTCCGTCTCGGGGCGAACGCTGGCTCACAGACGCCTAGAGTCGAGGGCTGGACGAGCTCTGTGGGAGTTGCTGTCACTCACTCGTTCACTTTAGTGGGCCGTGGGCCTATGCACCCAGAGGCGAGCTAGATCCACCCCCGCCCTCAGCAGCTCCTGATCTAGAGGGAGACAGGCCCTGGCCTATAGAGTCCAGGTGGCATTGTGGCACCCAACCCTGCCTGAAGGGCAGTCTTCCTGGGGTGCTCATGCCTGAACGGGCCCTGAAGGAGTGGGGTCAGTGGGAGCCTCAGGCAAGAAGACCTTGAGCTCCCTGTCATTTGCTCACCACACACCTCTCCTGAGGCCTCCGGGGAAACCTAGGCGAAATGTGACCCAAGTCAGGTGCTTGGAAGGTTCCTAGTCAGTTGGGAGAGCAGCCAGGGCTCTGGAGCCAGCCAGGTTCACCCAGCCCCATTCCCCACGTAAGCTGGCGTGGGCATTCTGCAGTCTCTGCAGCCCCAGCCCGGCGCTCGTTACGAAGCTCCAGGCCTCTGAAGGTTGAGAAGGCACTGGATGTCTGGGCCCACCCTCCTCCATGGGCTCCCCCGGGGGCCTCTGGTTTCCGGTGTTGCCTCCCTCTCCCCCTCCCCTTTTCCAGGCTCCTGACTGCGATAACTAATGAGGCTGCCTGCCATAGTCTCTAATTGGGCTTGTCTGAGGCTGCCTGCCATAGTCTCTAATTGGGCTTGTCTGGGAGGAGCCGAGGCTGAGCAGAAGGGGGGCTATAGAGCTGTGAACTCCACCTGCGTCACTGGGGGAAGAGGGGAGAAGGGAATGCGCAGTAGTGGGGGCAGGGGTGCCACCTGAATTCCAGAGGGTGAGGGCAGAGGCTAGAAGTAAAGGAAGTGGAGAACATGCTCCTGAAGGTGGCCAGGGGTGAGAGCTTAACCTTGAGAGGGACTTGGGGGCCAAGCACCTGGGTCCCAGGTAGAACCTTGTGGGATCAGACAGTGTGTCTGACGGGGCAGACTGGGTCCTAGGAGCCCGCATCCCCAGTGGCGTAGGGCTCGAGGAAGCAGCTGTATCCCTCAAGTTGTCGAGTCTGGTGGTGGCAATGGCACTGCAGGATTGGGTCTCTGGTCCCCAGTGAGGTGGCAGCTGGTAGTGTAGAAGTCTGTGTCTCCAGGGGGTGTTCAGGCTGTGCAGCTGAAGGCCTGAGTCCCCAAAGAGGCATTTCAGGAGCTCAGACAGCTGTGCCGCAGAAGGGACAGAGGCTGGGCTTGCATACCTGAGAGAAGAGGAATGATTTGGGGTGCAGGCAGAGCTCAGAGAGCTGTGGCTTCCATGGGTGGAAGTCTGAGCTAGAGTCCCAGGCCTCAAAGAAAAGCCAGTAAGACTGAGCCTCCTTGAAAATTGCACAACCCACTGGCAGGAACTGCGTGTGCAGTGGGTTCTGCATGTGCCCTTGGTCTCAGAGAGGTCCAGGTTTCTGGTGTTGGGAAGGTGAGGGGCTGGGAGCCTCAGCTCCTGGTTGGGGGGTAGGCCTGGAAAGCAGCAGCTGGGAGAGCCAATCTGTGACCAAGAGGCCCCCTCCCCCTTTGGAGGGAGTCAGAGATTGTTGAGAACTTGGTGAAAATTTCCCTGAAAAATGCATATGCAGGCCACCCCATGCCGTCCGTCTGTGCCAGACTCCTCTGTAAAGGCTATCTCCCAGCCCACAGAGCGAGCCAAGAAAGGAGGATGCCTGCAGCCACTTTGTTGCCCTCAGGTTGCCCAGAAGAGAGGACGAGGAGTCGGCGAGCAAGGCCACGGTAGGCAGCCCCAGCACCGGCACCCCCAGTCCCTGTCCACTCCGGCCCAGGAGGCTGACATCAGCTCAAATCCTCCCCAGCCCCAGCTCCACGCCCCCACTCCTCGGGCACAGAGAAAAATCGTTTGTCCAAGAGATAACAAGGCCCTCGCTGTAGCTAATGAGAGCGGACAGTGAGGCGGAGGGAGGCCTAGAGGCCAGTGGGCGGCCAGAATGTTCCCAGGGGACCCCTCAACCACACACACAGGGCTGCAGCAGCCACGCACAGGCCTCTCGCAGACGTGGCTACACCCCCGGATTGCATAAATGCACACGCACATGTGCCCACACACGGGAAGGGGAAGGAGCCAGCCCTCCCCAGCCAGCCTTAGAGCTGTCTGGGGGCAGGTGCCCTGCCTCGGCTCCCCTGCCTGGCGCCCCACATGCCAGCTTCTCTACTCCTCAGAGCGGAAGCCTCCATTCTGATCTCAGGCAGGGAAAG